ATGAGTGAGTGAGTGAGTGAGTGAGTGAGTGAGTGAGTGAGTGAGTGAGTGAGTGAGTGAGTGAGTGAGTGAGTGAGTGAGTGAGTGAGTGAGTGAACTAGTGAACTAGTGAACGAGTGAGAGTGAATGAAGGAGTGAGTGAGTGAACGAGTGAGAGTGAATGAAGGAGTGAGTGAGTGAAGGAGTGAGTGAGTGAAGGAGTGAGTGAGTGAGTGAGTGAGTGAGTGAGTGAGTGAGTGAGTGAGTGAGTGAGTGAGTGAGTGAGTGAACGACTAAGTCAACAAGGAAACAAGTGAACGAGTGAATGAATGAGTGAGCAAGTGAACTAGTGAATGAGTGAGTGAATGAGTGAGTGAGTTTGTGAGTGAGTGAGTGAGTGAGTGAGTGAGTGAGTGAGTGAGTGAGTGAGTGAGTGAGTGAGTGAGTGAGTGAGTGAGTGAGTGAGTGAGTGAGTGAGTGAGTGAACTAGTGAACGAGTGAGAGTGAATGAAGGAGTGAGTGAGTGAACGAGTGAGAGTGAATGAAGGAGTGAGTGAGTGAAGGAGTGAGTGAGTGAACGACTGAACGACTCAGTCAACAAGGAAACAAGTGAACGAGTGAATGAGTGAGTGAGTGAGTGAGTGAGTGAGTGAGTGAGTGAGTGAGTGAGTGAGTGAGTGAGTGAGTGAGTGAGTGAGTGAACTAGTAAGTGAACGAAATAAATGAATGACTATTTCCCCTCCCAGAAATGTATTATCTGATGATGTAACCAGGGTTAAAAGAGAATGGAAAAATAACTATAAATTATATGTCATAACCACACTGAATGCAATCAAATTTCAATGTGAAAAATAAAAAAAACATTTGCATTAACAAAATATTTGATTATTAAATATATTATTAAATAAAATATTTGCATTAATTGCTAATAATACAAGGAAATTCATTTAGTAGTCTTATCGAAGCTTCTTAAAGATCAATCTTAAATTTCATATTTAAGTTTCAAATCAGGAGTCTGTTTTAACCTGTCGGACTTAAAAAAAAGGTATATTATTTACATTTAGCCATTTATTCTTTCAAACGCGATTTAAAAAAAATGAGGAACAAAAGCATTTCATCAACAATAATCATAATACACAATGGAAGGTTTATTAGACAACTAGATTAGGAAGCAAGTTATAGCAGAGGAGAAATGCAATTATACATTTTGGAGATTCAACTTGTGACGGGAAAAAAAAAAAGATGCAAAAGTTTGATGAAAAAAAGTTACTGGTTAAGTGAGCGGCACGATGCACAACTGTATTCACAATGAACGACAGTTCCCGATTAACAATTGCATGCCCTCCAGGACAAGCCCAATTGAAGGCAATGATTGAATTTAAACTAACAAACGTAACCTCTAATGTTGTTTAAAGCAATAGAGCATGGCTTTCAACGGTAAACTCATAACAGCTCTAATTTATGAACGTGTGAAATCGTGCAGGGTGTAATGTCTCCTGGAAGCATTAGTGCGCACTTCCTCCGGCAGCCAGGAATAATGTTCTAGCATCTAATGCCCGGTTTATGCCTGTGTGGTCCGTACTGAAGCGGGCCAAGCTAAAGCCGGGCCTTAGAGGGGCACACACACACACACGGACCACAGTGAAACCATGCTCGCAGGAAGACCACCAGGGCTCGCCCGACAAAGAGCAGATATTCGCCGCGACGCTGACGTGTTCAGAGACAGCAGAAACTCAACGGCGTGAATGAAAATACAGTCTATAATTAGCAGAATGTGCAGTCAGGAGTTTCTCGTGATCTTCAAGTGTGAAAAATCACTAAAATCTGAAGTGGAGAAAAAAAAGAATGGAAATACATTCACCAAGAATGAATTGCGCTCCCCGCTAGCATTTATTTGCACATGCTGTCTGTGTTGTTTTAGCATCCGAGTCACTAAAGGAACTACACAAATCACATGACTGATCGCAATGTGTGCCTTGTTCACAGAAGCGTGCTGAATACAGCTAAAAGACAGTGAGCGGAAACCTTTCTAGATCAAGAAGTTCGGAAGCGACTAGAAATGCTGTATTATGCAGGCTAGACAAGTCATTTGGCGATGTCCCTTTGTAAAGAAAGACTACGCGCCTGCACACACATATATATTCAAATGCGCATACCTATACACTAAATACGTAATATGCATGTGCACGCCGTCACCGTTTTCACAGATTCACGTTTTTGAAGTTTACATGGAGATGATAATGTAAAAAAAAAAAAAATCAAAACTTGGAACCTATTTCAAAGTTTGCGTTCTCGAGCCACCAAACACCGTTGTCGTGCAAATGAACGGCCAGAACGCATTCAAAGTTTTCTTTTTTCCGTTAAAACGGTGTCGTGTAAGCGGCCCCTAAGTTAATAACTAATGATCTTTGCAATGGAAATGAGTCAATCAAAACTAACTTTAGCTGGACAATAACTTTCTTCTAGAGCTGCTGTAAAGCCAAAACAATCCCTGTTACTTTAATTCCCTGTTGTAAAGCTGCTTTGAAACAATCTTGTTAAAAGCGCTATATAAATGGTTATAACGCTATATAAATTAAAGGTTCCTAATTTTCTTTTGGAGGTCTCCTACAATAGGTCAATATCAAAAAACACTTTAATTTTCTCATATTATACATTGCAGCAACACCTCTTTTCTCACAGTGTAGACGTTGTTCACAGGCAGCCAATCAAGACCATTTGCTGGAATTATGTCAATTTGTTACAAACCTACGTAGGTTCGTTGCAGAAAGTAAGACTGGAACTACTGTCGACTCGTTTCAGGTAGTTCAGAATAGCTTCTCTCTCTAAGTAGTCCATAACTCCATTTGTGTCATGAAAACTCTCTGAGAGATTGGCATGGTAATGGATATGGCAATGTTATTGTATTTGGTCTAGGCGGAATAGATCTGTTACACAGCTGCTGCTGCCAAAACATTCAGAGACATTGCTGTGAGCATGCAAGACATGCTGCCGCTGCTGCACATGTAATAGACATGATTTAACCCCCGTAGCAGATCCATACAGGTGGAGCTGGGGAAGGTGGAGGGTTTCTGAAAGCGTGCTGCAGACTGCTAACAGAAACACACCGGTATTCGAATGTTGAGCAGCTGCTCATTGGCCGCTGATGCAACAGCAACCAATCAGCTGTGCTATGTGGATAATGATGTGATCACTACAAATTGAGTTAATAACCTATCAGCCTGTGCCATCTAGAGTTTCATGGCAGAACTTGTCATTTATCGTGTACTTTGACTTTTAAAAGCAAACCTCTTACATTCACAAACAACTATATTACCCACTACATGAAAGGTAATATACGAAAAAGCATAATAGGGGCACTTTAATTATCATTAGGTAATATACACAAACGTCCCATCATGTGGGCGGTAATAGTGTTGTGTTAATTGTGTCAGGAAATCAATAATAAGCACTGAAGTTTGAGAATCTGGTCCACTCCATAATGACCCTCATTATCATACAATAACATTTTAATATGTACGATGCAACACTGGATTTTGAACTGAAATTAAATAAAAATGTGTTGGGTTGACTTACTAATTGCAATAAAAGCACAGATCGCGCTTACATTTGCTGTCCCTCATCACCCTTGTTCTCAGACGCCCCCTCCGGAGAAGACGTTTAGGGAATGGCCTGCTGTGGGCGAACCATTTCCTGTTATAACCACACCACATCCTCTGAGCTGAGATTTTCATTATTTTCATACGCACCACCATTTCATAATACAGCAGTCTAGGCAAACGTGCCACCAGCTTCTAGGCTGTTCCGAGTGCTTTAGGCTGTTATGAGTGGTTGCTAGGTGCCTACTTACTGGTCCACCCTCGAGTAATATTCTGGTCAGTAGCTAGAGCTCAGTCCCTCCTTCAACTTAGTTGTTGGTCTAGATCAGGGGTAGGCAAGTTCGGTCCTAGAGAGCCGCTGTCCTGCAGAATTTAGTTCCAACCCTAATCAAACACACCTGAACAAGCTAATCAATGTCTTCAGGATTTCTAAGGCTATAGGCAGGAGAGGTTTTTTTCAGCGTCGGAGCCAAACTATGCAGGACAGCGGCTCTCTAGGACCGAACTTGCCTACCCCTGGTCTAGATACTAGGAAGTGTAATTTTGAACACACTCAAGATTCAACGTAGCACCTAACATGACCCCAAAACATGGAGAGAGAGCGAGAGCACTGCAGAAGCAAAAATATCTCGCCACATTTTTTTTTCCACGCTTACACAAACACCTGAGCCGCATACTCCGTGCAGAGCGCTGACCGCGTGCCAAAATCCAAACCTGCGAGGCGCGCAACACAGACGGATGAATCACGGCTGCTAATGCAGTCGTTACGAGAGGCAGACGTGATCCAAGAGTGAACGCAGGTTCCCCTTCCAGACTGTCATTTCTCAAAGAGACGATTATGCAACTTATGCAGAGACACACCTGGAGACTAAACACCACCCATGCGGGAAGAATGCAGGACTGAGAAATAATAAATACAGAAATGTACAGGAAGATTTGTGAGAGCGTGACAGCAACGTAAAGACCAAGAAAGAAAGAAAAAAACTCTTCAAAAACACACAAGAGGAGTTGAAATTGATCTAAAGCACAAACTGGCACTAGACAGCTGGCATCAAAATGGAAAAATCATTTTATTTCTTGCATCCCACTGAGCTAAAAAGCACTTGAACATGCAAACCCTTTAATTTTCCTCTTTATCTGTGCGTCTACATGCAAAATGCCAATTCAAATGGAGCTTTATTTGACAAAATGCACTACAGAAAAGGAGTTAAAAGAGTGAAGAAGTGCTGAAAATCCCAGCCCCTTCCTTTCGGATTCACAGGAGCTGAGGTTGCATCCCGCTGGATGAGAGTAGGAAACGCAGGACCACTGACAAGAGGGCTGAGCCCTCTTCACTCCTCTGATGTCACCAAACACATGACCCAGCCTCTCCAGTAACAGCCCATCAGGAGGGGGAAAAAAAGTGTGTTTTAAAGCTTACACGTTTTTGGATTGTGAGAATGTCTCATTCCCCTCACAAACAACCACAGAACCACAAGTGCGGTGCACGAGATTTCCCCAGGACGATAGGAGGGAGCCACTGGGGCGTAAATGGTTAATCGGAGTGGGTCAACCCCAGTCACAGAGACCCAACAAGTCAGTAAGTATGCTCTAACCACACTCGTATATGCGTTGATATCTGTGCCTGAACTCTCTCCTCGGCTGCAGACTGCAGGGGACCGTGCGGACTGGTTTAGTTTGTTTGTAGCTGTGTGTTTTCCCCTTCAGATGCATTGATATGATTTGTGCTCCCAGTTTAGGACTTCGAGGGTCACCACGACCTCCAGAAGAGGAGAGAGCCGACGTGTGGCTATGGCGTCTAACAGTCTTTTCAGCTCGGTGACTCCATGTCAGCAGAACTTTTTCTGGGGTGAGTGCTGTGAAAAATTATTTTCATTTCACTGTGGTTCAGCGTCGGGTCACACAGGAGTCAAGCTCCGCGAGCGGGTCGATAACCAATGGCGCACGCGCAAGATGCTTCGGGAACGCTAAAAGTCGCCGTGTTTACGTTTGCGTGCATGCTAAGTTGCTGACATGTTTGTGTAACTTAAAAAAACTTTTGTGGGGGGGACGAGACCGAAGAAAGAGAAAAACCCTTCTGGATGTATAAACATTCGCTCTGTTTCAATTTACAGAGGTACATTAGAACAAGATGTGGAAAAACTTCAGCTCAAAAATGGGATGGCTGGATATTATGTGTAGGATTTGTGGGGGTTAATGGCAATTGATAAATGCACAAACCTGGTTAACGAGGGAGCTTATATTAATCCTTATGAATGAAAACAGGCAAACGCTCTTTATTTGTGTTCAGCTTAGTTTAGGCTTTTTCAAACATGCAAAAGGAAATAAAATGCCAATTGAATGGAGCTTTTAATATGCACTGCAGAAGGGGTATATCAATTTTTTTTTTTTTTTTTGGTGCTCACATAATGTGAGAGCAAAACCGGGAGTGAAAATTGAGTCCAGCATTATACAGCACACAAAAAAAACCACATGTAAAAATCAATCTATGCAAAACCTATTTGAATACCTCAGCTATTCAAAATATACTAACATGTAAAATCCAAACAAATCCTGATCTTATCGCACAGTACGTATGGAAATAAAAATACAAAACACTGTTGACAAAGCAATCACAGAATGTACTTACAGTATTTTCCTCATCAAGTGTCTCATGTCGACGTAATCAGAGGCCTTTCTAGACAAACATATGGAGGCATGATATGTAGTTGGAGCCAGACAGCGTGAGCTACATGGTTTTGTCATCATTGTCGGCACACAGAAAGGCGTTATAGGTGGCGTCTCCAAAAACACGAGGCCGCAGAGGAGCGTTAAACCTTGAACGCTCCGGAAGCACAACCGAATATACGGCTATATATATTATAGCGTACTAACAATAATAATAAAAGAAAAATGATTACATTAGATACAAATACCTTCTAGAAACTTTATAAACCTTTCATAATCTGGAAACATCTATTTCAAGTGTCTTGCATTGATTTAAAGCACAAACTGCCACTACATACAGTAGCTGTTGTTCCAGCATCAAAATGGAAAAAATAATATCTTGACATAAGCTAAAAAGCACTTAAACATGCAAATGCTTAAATTTTTCAGTAACACTTTACTATAAGGTTCATCAGTTAACTACCTTAGTTAACATGAACTAAGAATGAACTGCACTTCTACAGCATGTATTAATATTAGTTAATGTTAATTTCAACATTTACTGATACATTTTTAAAAGTAATGGTTGTTTTTGTTAACATTGGTTAATGCACTGTGAACTAACATGAACAGCTGGATTTTCATTAAAAAAGATGAACTAATACTGTAACAAATGTATTGCTCATTGTTCGTTCATGTTAGTTAATACAATAACTAATGTTAACCAATGAACCTTATTGTAAAGTGTTACCAATTCTTCTCTTTGTTTGTGTTCAGCTTAGTTTAGGCTTTTTCAAACATGCAAAATAAAATAAAATGCCAAATCAATGGGGCTTTTTGAACAAAATGCAGAAGGGGTCTATAAAAGTTTGTCTCTCTAGCAAAAAAAAAATTAATAATAATTTCTTGCTTCCCTATAAGCAAATAAATCTCTCCAAGTAGAAAGCATCTTATTAATAAAAACTTTTAAAATAAACAGGACTGACATTTACAAAGACACTGAATGGGGACGGATAGCCAGCAAAATTCTGATTAATGACTGACTTTATTAATTACATTTTACATTCATAATGGCATATTATATTTGGTTAGGGATAGGGTAAATAGTTAAACAGGGTTAATAGGGTTCAGGATTGGAATTAACCCTTTAACTTAAAGTAGGATACATTAATAGCAATGATGCTTGCCTTTGCGCAGTGGTGGTCTAAATAATAGGAAGCTGAAAAAGGTCCTACAATGATTATTAAAATCACATTAACAGTCACAATTCAATGTAGCGCCCACCAGCATGACCCTGAAAAACGAGAGAGCATTGCAGCAGCACAAACATCCCGTCACATTTCCACGTTTACACAAACACAAACATCATTTTACGAGTAGGAACGCTCAAACTCCTTCAGGTGACAAACGGCCGTCACATGCAACGCGTACAGATGTTAAACAAGCTCTTGGCGAATTTCGTAGAGCGTCGCTAATCAATTAGCAGCGTGTTGTTCGGCTCAGAGGTGACATGTGCTTCTCATTTACAGCGAGCGCTGATGTCCTGGCCTGGATTGAGCGGCTTCATTCAGCTAATTGTTAATCACATCTCTCGTTTACGCTAGAAAAACAACATTAATGAACGAAACGAGACCTGGGTAACCAAACCTCAGAGAGAGAGAGAGAGAGCAGTCAGAGACGCCCAGCTTATTCAAAAGAAAGCTAAACGTTCATGAAATGCAATATCTACAGCCAGGCTTGGGGCTTTTTTTTTTATTAAAGAGAAATTAAAATCACTAATTTTCAAGTCAAGAAAATTCTCAAATTAAAAGGCATCTAGCAGTCTGATGTAATATGCACTGACTGACAAATGAAATGATCTCTGAGTGGTTTATGGTTTTTGCTTTCATATCTGCATTGTTTTATATCATCAAAACTTAATTTTGTGAGGGGGAGGGGGGAGTTAGCATTATCTTGGCTTCAACATCAAGGGCGTCTATCAGCCGGACGCGTTTTTATACGGGCGTATTGGCAGCAGAAGGCTTGAAATAATTTACGCCATGTGTGACGCGTTATAGGACCAAATCACCGCATCTCTCAGAACATGTGCATTTCCTTAACGTGAGTTTGTCACAAACGTAATGCGTGCGATAATCTGTCTTAAAAACTATAATCACCCGTTCAAGACCGGACAGCTTCAAGAGACCAAAATCAATGATAACGGACGGTGTGTCAAAAAAAAAGGAAAAAAAAAAGACATGAACAAGTAAAGGAAACATAATTAGACATATTACAGACTGAATGGTGAAGAAAAATGAGCCTTGATTCCTCAGAGGACGAGGCTGTAATGTGATACGAGACAAAGTGATGCAGAAGTTCAATTCTGCTGGAGCTGCTCAAAGCAAACAGAGAAACGAGAACAAATTATAATCATGCTGTTTTTTTGTTATGCTTTCCCTCAAACTCTGAGACCAAATCTGGACTTTACAAACAAAGAAATATTTTAAATTGCACCCTATTTCTAGGTGACGAATTTTACTTGACATCGTTCCGCTCTTTGGGACATCTTAAATCATGATCATCAGGTTTTGTTTAGTGCTGATGTTGTTAAAGTTAAACAAAAAACATTGTCAAAATCGTGTGCATTTTCCAATGCAATTTTTAAAACAAAAAATTGTTATGCTCATAATAATTTACCCTGAAAAAACTTTACAATGAAAGAACTGTTTTATAGAGATCTCAAACTAAATACTACTTATTTTTTAGATCACACAGGATGAATGGTATAGTCTCGAGAAAGAATTTCGACTGCATTCATTTCTATGCAACCTGAAAAATACTTCACTCTAAAAAATGCTGGGTTGGTTTAACCCAATTTTGGGTCAAATAAGCCGTTGGGTTACATTTTTAATACAACATTTGGGTTTGTCCATATTTGACCCAAAATTGAGTTAAAACAACCCAGCATTTTTTAAAGTGTTTGAATACATTGTCGAAGGATTTACTTCTATAAAAGAACTTCATAGTGAGGTTCGATCTGGCATGACTTTACCAGGTGCATGGAAGCAGACGATAGAAAAAAAGTGAAACATTTGACTAATTAGAAACTATTAAAGTTCCCCTTACCACAAGTGTTGCTGGATTCCCTTTTGTACTTTTTAAAAGAAATTCAGCCTAACATAAAAATGCATTTTATTTGAAATTAACAAATTTATTTTCAATTTAATTGGCTCAAAATCTCAGAATCTGCCCGACAAAACGCCACGGACGACATTTGCTGATGTTCCATAGTAAAAAATAAATACAAAAAAGTGCCATGGAGCTCCTGTGCCACACACCGTATCCAACATGCTTCTCTACATGACAAAGAGCGGCATTGATGTCTCATGTAAACTTGGAGGGAGCTTCTTAGAAAATAATCAAACACTTAACCATGGAGTCTCAGTCAGCCAAACATAACATTAAAAGTGGGAAACAATAAATAGTCCCATAACACGAAGAGACCCGACTTCTGTAACGTGGAAACCCAGTCAACAAACCATCAGAGTGGCCACAAACCATCTTTAAATCATAGCCAGCCAACCCAGCACCTCTGATATATCACCGTTTGAAGCCGTCGCTGATGGAAATATACATGAAAATACAGAATTCATAGGCAGCGGATTGTGTACGAGGGACGGAGCCAATGGTTGATGTAAGTGTATTTAAAGAGGAGGATTATGGAGCTGGAATCCAGACAAACAGCTCCGATAATGAATGGCCCCCTCATACCATGAGCTCGAGACGCCTTTCAGACCACCTCAGCAACGAAGAGAAGTAATAATAAAGACATTTCGGATTCAGAGAACAGTACTTTGCAAATATACATTTCAAATAGTAATAATAATAAAAAAATCTAAGAGCATTTTCTTTACAAGTTAACATGTTTGCATGACAATTTACATGAAAAGATGAGCTGGCATGGACAAAACCTAATGATCCATGTCGTACAGCTTGATTTGAGACCTTTTGCACATAAAAAAACGTCACAGGATAAATGTCACTAATTTAATTACATTACAAATGGTGAGGAATAGTATTTAACATACCTCAACTTTGTTTAAAATACATTCAAAAACTAAATTAAAATGACCACTGAATATCAATATTCCACTGTTTGTGTGTATATTTAGGCTGTATATTTAGGCTCCATTGGCACAAATTTGGCATTGTGCTCATACAAAA